GAATCCCGCAGGGTGTGCTCAGCTCTTGGGAGCACCAGGAGCTCTGTGCAGGCAGGTTGGCACCCAGAAACCTGAACATTCGCCTGGCACAGGACATAAGCATCCATAATCTCTCACCAAAGAGGATCAGTCTGTCACCACTCACTCTACCCACTCCATCAGGGCAACACTCCAACATGTGTTCATGTTCTGAAGTGTGTGAGGCACTATTCCAAGTAAACCAGGGCCACCAAGACCTATATTAAACCAATGTCCCCTGCAACTTTAAGAGAGCCCCAGAGAGCTCGGCAAGCACACAGAGCTTTCTTTGTCCCAGTCCTGCTGCTGACATAAGGAGCAAAAGTACATCCACTGTGCACGCAAGGGGAAAAGCACAGATGGAGCCATGTCACCAGCTTCCCTCTGCTCCCAGGAATAAACCATCTCCAGCAGGGAGAAGGGCTCATCTCTCCACCATCAAGGCATGGCCTCCATCCACCCTGCCCCAAAACACTGCTGGCACACTGGAGAAGATCATCCCCTAATCCAGGTTACATGAAGAACACACTAGTGTCAACATCACCTGCCTGGGTGCAAACAGTGTACTCTGTAATCCCACTGTCAAGACCAACAGCCTCCAGGATCTATTGGTGCCAGAAAGGCCTAGAGCCCAAGTTAACACACAGAGCCACTATAGAATCAGTCAACAGAAGATGATGGTTGGATGGGGCTTTGAGCAACCTGCTCTAGTGGAAGGTGTCCCTGCCCATGGCAGGGGGTTGGAACTGGATGAGCTTTAAGGTGCCTCCAAACCCAAACCAGTCTGTGACTCTATAACATTACATTAATTGTGTCAGTGCAATGCAACTGTTATTTGTGAAATGCAAGAGGGACTCAAAGCTTTGCCTGTTTAATCACAATGTATGGAGTGGCTTCAAGAGATGATACAGTTTAGGTTGGAAAACACAAAGTTACCAACAGCTACAAATTAAACAGTGATTTTCCTCTGGTAATGGAGGTTTCACCAGTGTCATTTCAAGGGCCTTTTAAACCAAAGTTTCAAGTGGAAACTCATTTTAATGCACAAATCCAAAGCAAAGTGACACCGCTCAGTTGTGTCTCTCGCAGCAAGGCAGCAGGACTTTGATGCAGGGGCACAGCAGTGCACTTCATAAAGCACTGATGGTCTCTAGAGCGTGTTTACTCCAACATGTGCCAGAGCTTTCATACGTACTACACACTCATCACTTGGCTCTGCAATGCAGCTAACCAAGTGCAGCTCTGCAGAGCTGCTCAGGCTTGAAACAAAAAGGTTCTGGGCTTTGATCAGAACAAGTTTCTATTTTAAGAGTGAACTAAGTGATTTCTTTCTGCATGCTCTGGCTAACCCACAGCATCTGCTAAACGAAATCTGTACCTCGGGTTTAGGAAAAACTAGTTTCCTATCTTTCAAGTGATGATTAATTCTATCTTGTGTTGTGTCATAAGATATTTCTAAAGAGATTTGCCCTACTTGGGGCAGTTCTTAGGAATATAAACAAGTTACAACACAAACTTAATGGATTTTCTTTTTCAGACTGCAATAAACAGGATCCGTTAAGAACAAACGTGGCTGCAGATATGTCAGATGCCAGAAACTAGTCAACCAACTTGGAAAAATGCTTTAAAACCTGTAAAAAGACATGAGGAAGGAGGGAAAAAATGAAAACCAGAATCCGTGGTGTGACTTGCCAAACTTTTTATCTAGATGCTATTAATATCCTACATATATATATACACATACACACACAACCCCTCATGTATATTGAATAACATGCTGGACACTACAAAGTCACCTGAGGGTGTAGGGGATTTCAAACCTAATCTCACATGTTCTGGCAAGGCTTTTCTGCTTATCACAGAAGCAACACCTTGGCCAGCCTTGTCCCCAGCACTACTGAGCTGCTCTTCCAGGGGCAGGAGCTGCTCTGGGTCTGCAGCACTGCCAGGATGGTGTCCTGCTGCAGTGGCACTGTTTGGGTATTAACCCTCCATCACACCAGCTTTCTGAACCAAGGCTGCCCTGGAGTTCACCGTGTGCAAATAAGGAACCACATTTAAATCTACATCATTATCAGCTTGCATAAAAGGGAGAATTTTCATTGCATCTGAGCAGCAGAAGAAACTCAAACAGGGCATGACTGGGTTTAACACAAGCAACAAAATAAATCCACTCTTTGCCCACTCTCTTTTCTCTTTGACAGCAAGGAGAGGAAGGGAATTGTCTTCCAGAGATAAGAACAGACTCACACGCCTCTTCCTTTCCAGCAAGATCATCTTTAGTCAGCACAAAACGACCCAGCTCAAAAGCTGTTCTAAACCAACGCCATAAAGTTCCCTCCTCGCCGCGCCAGTGCCCGTAGGTGATTCAGCACAGCAAATGACAGCGTGCCACGCTGAGTTCACCTCTCAGCAGCCTGCCTGCTCACATCACACAAGGAAGTAAGTGCTTTCAGACTGCCAGTAAAAGGAGGATTGGATCTTTTTTGTCCTGGATTTTATAGATATTTACAGTATTACCCATGTTACAACTATGCTTGCCTTTAAAGGCATGAAAAAAAGAAGATATAACACAGCCTTTAATTATAGACACAGGATTTACATCAGGTGAAGTGATGCAGAAAGTTCTAACTACTCCCTGTTTCTTAAAACAAAGCATATATTTACATAAGAGTACACAGGGAGTCCCAGCCACACATCGTAATGAACAGGTCTGTGCAGATTAGACTCAGCCCACTGGATCACCAATCACTTTCGGATTCCAACACACCTAATCTAGAGCTGTGTCTTTATTAGCAGAATGTTTAATTTGCCATCTCAACTCAAAAGTCAACATTCCAATCTAAGCTTCATGAAAGCTCTCAATGGGAACACATCTGACCATGTCTGTAACTCAATGCTTCTTATCTCACCCACTCTGCTGCATTGTGGTATATAGGAATCAAGGCATTTATGGAAATAAGTTTCACAAAACTTAATTCATGTGGATAATTAGGTTTTATTACAGACATAATTCACGCTTTACCTGGAGAAATGATGAATTGAAGACAGCAAAACAAGACAGCACAAAGCACTTAATTTTATTGAACTCATTTTTGTACATGCTATCAGTTATTTCCACACTACTTTATTTACACAGAATCCAGATTCTGCTCTTTTAATCATTCACTACTACTTAAATAATATTATCAGTGAATTGGCTGCTTTATCAGTTAAACTGGTAACCAGGATATCAAAGAACTCAAGCTTTTATCAATATTAACACCGAGATGAAAGCCAGTTGCACAGATTGCACTGCAGGTTAAGCATCAATACTGATTCTTTTGTCTACACCTGACATCATTATGGAGCAGTTCTCATGCCTCATTCTTCTCCATTCCTCCCAACACCTCCACCTCATCAGCTGAGAGCAGGCGAGATGAAGCTAGGCCAAGTGAGCTGGTGTGATTTGTAGTGGGGGACACTGCTCCCCCTCAGCCCCAACACAAAGCCAGTAATCTTTAACCAGGCATCAGGAACTACCACTTCCCAGCTTTGGCAAAAATTCATGGCATCTATCATGTAGCTCTTTGAAGCTGCTGTTGTGTTTTGTTGGTGGTTGGTTGTTTTTTATATACAGCTGTGACCATGAACAAGTACCATTCTCTTCTAAAACATACAACAATTCACACAGTTTATAGAAAAGTTACTCTTACTATAAAGCAAGGAAGCTGAACACCTGTAGGTAGCTGACATGGTGACCTGGTGAATGACACCATTTGTTCTCCTTTCAGTTACAGGCAATTAATATTAAAACATCTAAACATTTATACACACACCCAACAAGTTGCTAATACTGCATTCAATATGCATCACAAGTACAGTAGAAGACTGGTGAAATGCTTAGTTACTAACCAGTTACGAGAGGATGCACTGCAGAGCTGCCTCTTCCGATTCCTAAATTTAATCCTCTTTCCTTTTCCCACATCACCTCCCATACACACACAACCACCAGGAACATTTGCTGCCCAGATAATGCCAACAGACTGAGACAGCCAAGATGCCCACCTGCTGCAGCTCAGCCCACTCCACTACCCTCTCTTCTGCCTGCTCCCAAGAAAGCTTCTGTGCCACAGCATTTCAAAACTCTCCCAGTAACACAGTGCTTGTGTAAACACTGACACTTTTGGCTCCAAGTGTTAAGCAACATTCAAGTTGTACGTAGGTTTAGGCTTTGAATGATGTAACAAATGTTGTGGAGTCCCTTTTCACACCCAGGTTATTCCAAGAGAAGATTTTCCTTCAGCTAATTCCATACAATTCCTCATTCTACCAGTAAAGGTGTACAGCATCAAGGTAGAATTCTTTACCAGGTCTTCTTCACTGAAAAGGTGAAATCACCAACTCACACTACACCAACACCAGCTACCTCTGTACTGCCAAAATCCAGCCGACTTAAATACCTCTACATATCTAAGGCAGAGATACAATACTGCACTTGCTTGCCTACACTCCCAATCAAATAGAGTAATAAGAGACCAACAGTCACATTTACTGCCACAAAAAGGCTGCATTCAGGATAAAGGCCAAACTTCATGTTTCAATGTGAAATCTCAATTCTTGGCATCCAGAAATCAATTGGGCTTTTGCTTTCTGGACAGTTCTTGTAAATGTCTTTGTTGATCAGTGTATTTTGTTTCCAGCTATGACAGTCTTGACAGCTTTTCCCCTCTCGATAGTCCTTACACTTGCAGTGACTACATAAGAACACCACACTTCAGTAGCTAGGCTAAGAACTTCACCTTTGAGATAGAAGAAGCCACTGAAAAAGAGAAAACACTAGAAATTTTTGCAGATGGTCTCCGTTTCAGAGGCACTACAACTGCACACACAGGAACGTCCCTGTCCCTTTCAACAGCAAGTCAAGCCTAAAAGACCACACACTTGTTTCCAGCATTACAACAGTCCTGCCTTGTTCACAGCAGCAAACGGCTCCTACTTACATATCCCAACAATCACTGAGGGTGTGTGTTCCAGTCGCAAGTAGAAGAGAAGATTGTAAAAATTGAAGCAGATGAGAGAGAAGCACAAGATGACCGAGATCCATTCCTGCAGTCTCTTTCCTGTTGGGAAAAAAAAAAGAAAAAAAAGGCATGTTTTAACTTTATCTGAGAGGACATTTTGAAGTCTGCAATAATACGGACATTCCACTGCCTGGATGACTGACTCCATTTGTCTGACAGGGAACTGAAACAGGAACTTACTTATCCATGGGAGGTGTGCATATTTTGTTAAATGACATTCCTCTTCCTCAAGCCACTACTAACCCCTTCCCTCTGCCCTTGCCCAAAGAGCAGGGACAAATCAGACATCATCTGACATTGTCCTAGTTTCCTTCCCCCTGCGGTTGCTGGCATAATGCTCCTCCGCATCGCATCCTTTTTCAAATCTCCATTCCATTCAATATTCAGTGTTGCTGGGATGGCTGAATATGGGAACAAATTTCTGGCTTCAGATGCCCTCTAGTTAAGTCACCTTATGATCTGAAATATTTAGAATCTCACAGCTTGTAAATAAAGCATCAGGAAAAAACAGGAAAAAGCATCATCCTGTATTTTGCCGGCCGTAGAACTGCTTTCCTAACATTTCAGGTACACTTTTGAAGCTTGCTTGCTTATATATATACACATCTATATATATACTTAAGCCTTGTCTTTGCCTTCCTGCTCCCAGGCAGAAGGCTATGACCTGTCAACCATTCCGAGATGAGAAGAGACAGAATAAGCAAAGAGCAAGATCCAGCACGAATTCTCTCTTGTACCTTGCTGTAGTACTACATACCTCTACAATCCCCTCATTTCTTGCCTATAAAAAGAGACATATCAGAGTATGGTAATACTTTGAATATTCAGATTAGCAGCAGAAAGCTTCTGCCTGTCAATCACTGCTAGATCCTCACAAGACACTGATGCCGAGAGCAAGAGAACACTCAGTGCAAGACCCACATGGATTAAGTCATCAGAAACAGATCTTTAATGCCTAAATCCAAGAGCTGAGCTGCCACCTTGGCCCAGCAGGGCCCTGGCTGTAGTTAGCTCTTAATGTGCTCAGGAGCAGAGAGAGCAGTCTTCACCTATTTCAGGGGCCAGACAGCAGAGCTGTCCCTCGCCCAGGGCTTTCCAGAGCAGTTTAATCCCACTGACCATTCCCATTCCCTCTTGCAGCCTTAGACACTTTATTCCACCCCAGTTTGAGGTACAGCAACATGCAGGGAAGCAATCAGTAAGGACTATGTGCAAGGCGCACATCCTCTCACAGGAGCAGAGGCACACTCACATGTCTGGCATGTGTTCAGGACAGGAGCTTCTTTCCTACTACTCCACTGCACTGACCTACTGCCTGATCAAATTTCCCCACCTAAATGCTAAATCAAGTCCCTCTTCTCAACTATCCAATGCAGTGAAAAGGAAGCCAGGAACACTGCAAGAGGATCAGTGTTCTCTTCAATGTGCCTACAATGCAATATTTTAAAGCGATGTGAACAAAGACTTTTACAGGCCATAAGTATATAAACCAACATCCTCTGCAGTAGCAGAGAAGAGAATCTCAAAATTAAATTAAGACACAAGAACAAGCATATTTCAAGACAGCATCAGGTGACAATGTGGGAAACTATAAAGAGGTCCCTGGAGTAATGAAAGTAAGAGTTAATTAATGTTCCCTCCATAAGAAAACCACACCCTGATTAGAGGAGCTAAGTGGGTAGATCCTCATGGAACAATTAGCCGACTGCGGGGAAACACTCCTTTTTAGCGGGTCCCATGAGTTCAGTCTATGCAAACACCTCTGTACTCTGAACACGGGGATCCCAAGGTGACTGTCTGGAGATACCCAAGTCAGAAATGCAGGCCCAGCTCTGGACAGGCTGGGAGGAAAAAAAATCAGCCAAAGGAGCAAGTGGGCACCAACAGCTTGTGTCTGGATCCTAGAATGGTTTGGGTTAGAGGAGACCTTAAAGCTCATCCAGTTCCAACCCCCACCAAAGGCAGGGACACCTAACACTACAGCAGGTTGCTCCAAGCCCCTGTGTCCAACCTGGCCTTGAACACTGCCAGGGATGCACTCAAGTTTAAAAGTATGTCGCACATGAAGGAATAAGGTGTGAAAGCCACCAAGTATATGCTTAAACAAATCATGGAAATACTGCAGAGTCATATTCACTCTGTGCAATTATATGTAATCCCTGTTCTTAAGAATTCACTAGTTCAACATCATGTGCTTCCACCGTAACACATATTCTGACATTGTTTATGTAAGTTATTTATGTAATACCAGAAAAATAGCACATCTAATCTACCAGCACAGCTCACTGCTGATAGGTATTATCACTATACATACGCTGCTCCACAGACTTCCCAGGAACTTACATCTACCTACAGCTGAAGATAAGAGCAGCAAGTTATCTGGGGAGGAGGACATTTTCCTTATGAGCAAGAGCACAGTGTAATTGTAAAGTTAGTGATTGCTTTTGTGTAAAGCACTGGAATTGGTCACCACCTGGATCAGATCTGTGTCTCTAGACCAGCTGACAGACATCACACACCTCCTTCTCTCAGGGCAAGGAAGAGGTGACCAACGCAATGAAATGGGCAGATTTGCCCTGAACAGTCTAGAAAACTGGTAAACTAATGGATGCCTTTGTTTTCTTATCATTACTTGGCTCTGTGCAAGTAAGAACTCCTGCTTTTCCAGTAATGGCCTTGAACGTGCAAGCTAAGACGTTCAGGTGACCTGCTGGAAACCACAAGCTGCTGAAAACTTCCCTTTCCCAGTCCTTCACGAGGGGATGAATGACAGGAATGGCAGGAATACCTGGCATCACTCACAGAGAGCTAAAGACAAACGAGATATTTCATTATAAGGAGTTCGCAGTTATTTCCATGGCATAATCAGAGCTACTGTGGCTTTACAGAGCGCTGACAAACAGCAACCCTCAGGAAGACAAGACCAAATCATAACCTCAAACATCCCCCCGCCCCGTTCTGAGGTTTTTATGTATTACCTAAGATTAGCCACTAAGTATCCTGAAATGAAAGCTTCTGTTGTTACGTTGTGTAGTAAGAGTTAGCACGTCTGCCTTCAGATGGAGAGGTGAAGGCTGCGTGTCTTTAACGGGCAGCGCATTCATTCTGGGCAGGTTCTCGTCAAAAAGCCCCCATCCCAGCAGCGCAGCCCCTTCCC